CTCTCCGAACGAGGAATCCATTGGTGGGGTCACACGTATGGTTCGAGTCCTATTTAGCGACTCTGGAGCTCAAAACGCGTCTGGAGTTTTGGCCGCCTGCGCCGGTCTTCTGGCACACTGTGGCCCGCCCCCCACATTGACAAGCTGCACTCCGCGATCACCCCCTCTCTATCCTTCCCCTCCTCCGCGCTGAGTGGCAGTCCAATTCCGGTCCGAGCCAATGAGCGGCACAACAACAAACTGGAGTGGCGCGGCGGCGCGGCCAAACTTGCCGGAACCGATTGCAGCGCGAAGCACGCGCAGCGCGGGATGTTTGTCCAAAAGCAAAGCAGGGTACAGATTCACCGCGGCGGTCGTGGTGGAGGCCGCAGCCGTGAAGGAGGCCGCGGACGCCATGGAGGCGCTAAGGCCGAGGTGGAGGACGCATAGGCCGTGAAGGAGGCCGCGGAGGCCGTCGTGGAGGCCACAGAAGCCCCAGAGGTCGTGGTGGAGGTCACAGAGGCCGTGCTGAAAGCCGTGGTGGATGGAGGCCACGAGGCCACGGATGCCGTACAGTGGTGGCCGCGGAGGCCGCGAAGGCTGTGCCACACACACCGACCGCACCACCACACCGACCTCACCAATCTCGCCGTCAAAGCGCGGCCCCGCGACGCAGTCTAGCAGCTAGTAAACTAAGAGGCTGCCGTGTTTTCCTCATGCCGTCTCTCTCGCACGCCGAGGGGACGCCCCACGAGTGCGAGAGAGACAGGGCGACGAACGCGCCGTTCGGAATCAGACCGCAGCGCGACGAGTGTCGTTGAAGTCTCGGTTCAAGAAGTTCCGGGAATTTAAATTGGAACTGTGGAGGAGGAGGCGGAATAGCGTGCTGGGAAAACCAACGGCGGTTTCGATGCACACGCCAAGCCGGGGCCGCCCAACCGCGCCCAACAACCCTTCAACTCTCTAGTGTGCCGGGATCCAGTCCTTTTCGCTTCACCTCCAGCCACATCCACCGTAAAAACAGCAAGAACCTAAAAAAACGACCATCAATACCATGTTGTTGTATTTTTTAAATTTCTTATTGAGAAAATACAAGGGTACCCAAACTTCAAAATTATTTTGAAACTCCACTTTTTTTATTGAATCTTCGTGGAGACTTTGGCGAGTGTGTGTGAGTGTATGTATAGGTATGTGTGTGAGAGGGAGAGAGAGTGTGTGCGGGTGCGTCTTACGGTACGCCTCGGGGTGGTCGGGCGCCACTCGACCTGGCCGCCCCGCCCCGCCCCGCCCCGCCCCGCCCCGCCCCGCCCCGCCCCGCCACAGCCCGCCACGCCTCACCGCCTCTCCGTGTGACGCGTCGCACAGACAAAAGCCCTCCAAGACTCTACTCAGTGCCGCCCAGCATTCCGAACACGCAGCCGCACGCCGCACTGTGCGCCGCACGCCCCGCACCCTCCGGGCACCCTCCGGGCGAGGCGGCTGGGAGGCAAGGCAGTACACCGACAACTGACCGCCACGCCGCCGGCCGACCGGCTGGCCCGCAGAACAGGCTGGCCGAAACTGCAGCCCCTGTACTGCACCTCCACGTCGACGGTCCAGCCAGCGCGCAGACCTCGGCGCCGACCCCCACAAGGAGCCATAGCCAAGCCGAACAAAGGACTCACAGCGTCGCCGGGCTGGCTTCCTTTTCGGTCCTGTTCCACCCCGCCACGCCACCGCGCCATGGGAGGCCGGCCGGCCACCTTATAATGGAAATATCTCGTCACACGACCCAGGCTGTCCACGACGTCCACGACGTCCACGAGAGGGCCGCCAAGGTGTTGATATCCGACGCCCCGGACGACGGGCACGTGACCTCGATACCCCGCCCCGCCACGCCCCGCCACGCCCCGCGCCAGGCCGGCGACGCAGTGTCTTTCAGCGCGACGCCGCTACTTCACCGCTGGCATCTCCAATAAGGCCTCCGCCCTCACGTCTCACTCTGTCTCTCTCCGTCCCGCTCGGCCGGACCTCGGCGCCGCGACGCGTCTCTCTGGAGTGACAGAGACGGACAGGGGTGGCCAGGTGCCAGCCTGCCTCCGCCTGCCCTCGGCCCTCCAGCGATTCCGGGCCGCCGGCGGGGCGACGGGGCGACGGGGCGACAGGGTCCAAAAGGAATTAGCCCCGCCGCGCAACGAGCTCCGATTGTCCCTCCGGCTTCCTCCCCCACCAGCTGTCTCTCTCGCACGCACGGGTCGGCGCCACCGGCGCGCAGGGGTGCGAGAGGGACAGAGCGAAGGGACCGTCGCCGCGCCGCCCCAGCTGGACGCGCCGCGCGCCGCCAAGGGCCCCCAGGCGCCAACGAGACACCAGCGGAGACACCGACACAGGCCAGAGAAAAAAAACAAAAAACCGTTGCATTCTCGGAGAATTTGTTTTGCTGAGCCGGTCGGTCCTCCGGGCGTGCGGGCTGCGGGCCGAGCCTGGCGGCGGGACGGAGCCGTGCACCCCGTCAGCCCGGCCTCGCCTCGCCGGCCGCAGCCCCAAATTGAAAGCTGTCAAAACCGGATAAACCACGTCACCCGCGCAAGGCCCGCGCAAGGCCCGCGCAAGGCCCGCCGAGCCGAGCGGCCTTCGCCCCCATCATCGCCCGAATTCACTTTTACCGTCATCATGACGTCATCCGCCGGACGAGAAGAAAACAATAACGAGTAGCAGCCCAAGCAGTAGCAGCCCCGCCACTTCGCCGATGCGGGCAACTCCGGCGGCGCCGCACATGCAGGGCAGGGCCAGGGCGCAGGGCCAGGGCCGCGCCGGCCAGCCTGCCTGGCTAATGGCTTTGTTTGCTCCGACCAAGTTGTCGTCCAGCCCGCCCCGCCCCGCCATGCGCGCCCCGCCCCACCCCAATCAGGAGGGCAGTAAAAATAGTTGACGTAACTCGCTTTCAGGAGATGACCTCAGCGAAGTGTGCATGTCTGTGTGTCTGTGTGTGTGCGTGCTTGTGTGTGTGTTAGTGTGTGTGTATGTGTGTGTGGGACAGTCGGGCGATGACGGTGATAAGACCGGCCCCAATAAATGCCCGGCACCTTTATGCCATTCGGGGCGAAAATAACACGGCAAGCGGACGACGACGACGACGGTGGCGGCGACGAGAGGGCGGCCAGAGAAAACATGAAAAGAAAATGACGCGCGCTCGGCGCCTCTCACTGCTTTCGTTAAGGAAAAAAATGCGACCGGAGAAAAACTTAATGAAGAAACGGGGACCCCGTCGAATTGTCTCCGCTGGCCCCGCTTTGGCCTCGCCGGCCTTCCAGCAGGCGTCCCGTTTCTCCGCTTGTTTTGACGGTATCCGCTTCCACTCGGACGCGCGATCGAGTCGCCCGGGCCGAGAGGGGGGGGGGGGGGGGGGGCAGTCCGGAGGCCGGCGCCACCTCGGCAGAGGCAATTATAAAGTCACGATTCATCCGCTAGACATCACAAAAGTTTCACATCGCCGCGCCCGCCGCCGGCTCCTCTTTCGCGTCCGAACGGGTCGCCACCGCCCCCCCCCCCCCCCCCCGCGTACCTTTAATTCCTCTACTTTGTTCCCGGCGACAATGATTGGGCAGCCTCGCTCGATCCGATCGCATCATTTTGCTTGGCCAAGTTCAAGGCGGGGGCTGCGCCGACTCGACCCACCCCAGGCCGCCCCGCCTCACCCGCCCACCCGCCCTGCGCCCGGCCAATGAGCCCGCCAGGTCCTTTGGGGACGACCCCCCTCATTTACGGGCGGGGCGCGGCAAAAATTAAAAGTTTTCACCTCGGCTGCCTGGCTGGCTGTCTGCCTGGCTGCCGCCGAGGCCGCCGCGCAGGTCCATATTCCACCTGACTGCAGGCGGGGTGGCGCGGGGTGGCGCGGGGTGGCGGGGGTGGGCCCGGCCGCCACGCCTGGCCGGGCACGGCACGGCACGGCACGGCACGGCACGGCACGGCACGGCAGCGCTGCCGATGATTTCGATGATTGGGCCGCGAGATGGCGCTGGCGGGCCGGGACGCTGGCGTTCCTCAGATTGGCACAAACAAAACGGCCTCCGCTCCGACTTGCTTCGCCTCCATTCCGCTGCAGCGGCCGTTAATTACATCGCGCACACAAAAATACGCAATTAATGATAAGACGTCGGATTTTCTCAATTTTCTTTTCCTCTTTTTTTCATCATCGCCGCGGTGGCGCCGCGACGAGGCCAGCGGCCGTCCGCGGGAAGACATCTACTTCTGAAGGGCAGGCAGAGATTGAAACTGGGACGGGAAGGAGAAAAGGATTTCAACTTTGGTCTGAGGGTTTCCGATAAAGAACAGGGCGCGGAGCGGGGGCGGCCGGGGTGTCTGAGCTTGGCTGGGGGCGGCCTGGCCCGGGGCAGCGCGGGGCCGCGACAGTGCCAGGGGCGGACCAGGGACCGGGGGCTTGCCAAGTTTCGGAGGGGGCAGGCCGGGCAGGCCAGGCAGGCCCTGCAGGGGAAATGAAGAAAACCTCTCGAGTCGCCTTGCTGCGCCTTGCCGTGCTCCGCCGTGCTTCCCCGCCCCGGGTCATTTTATCCGCGACTCGCGCCTCTGAAAGGGCTGCCGGCTGCTTGGACTTGGAGCACCTTGACGGCGACAGGCCACGGCGCCACCAGGCGCCACGCCCAGCCTTTATCTAGCCTGGACAATCTGTCAAAACGGTCCAAACGGCCCCCAGGCTTGGCTTGGCGGCTCGGTCTGGCTGGCTCCCTGACAATACCACCGGGCGCCGCACCGCGCACCGCCCTCCAACAACGCGCGGCCGCGGCGTCGCCCTCGCCGTCATGCCCTCCCTGCGTCCGCTGGCGTTGGCGGCGTCCCTCACGCCGCGCCGCCTCGCCGGCACCCTGGCCGTGGCCGTGCCCGAGACCCTCAGCAGCCTTCCCGCGCCGTCCTGCCCGCTCAAGCCGCAGCCGGAGGCCAAGCCGCGGTACGGCCGCCGACCACACGCGCAGTCCAAGCCGCACCAAAGGAAAATGATTAATTAAAAATGTTGATTGCCGCAGTTTTTGCGTGGCGCGGACCAGCCTGCCGGAACGCGACCCCGAGGTGGTGGTGCTGGGCGCTGGGGTGGCGGGGCTCACGGCCGCGGCGCACTTGGTGGCCAACGGCGTGGGCAAGGTGACGGTGCTGGAGGCGCGCTGCCGGCCCGGCGGCCGCGTGCAGTCGTCCTTCCTGGGGGACGCCGTCGTCGAGCTGGGCGCGCCGTGGCGGACGTTCCACCACGTGGCCGACAACGCCGTGGTGCGGCGCGCCATCGTCGACGGCTTCCTGCCCGGCGGCTTCGGCGACGGCTACCCGTGCAGCCCCATGCGCGCGGACGCGGCCCGCACCCTGCTGGTGGGCGACAAGGGCATGCCCGTGGCCACCGCGGTGGCGCAGTGCGCGTACCAGCTCGCCCGCGACATCGAGAACGATCTGTCTGGGAGCGTGGACGAACCGCATGAGGTAGACGACGGCCTTTCCTGCCTCTTGGTCCGTATGTTCGTCTTCTTACTCGCTGCCCTGCCACTTGGCCGCTCCAGGCGGGGTCCGGCGATGAGCTGGTGGGGCACCGCGCGCGGGTGGCGCTGCAGGCCGTGCCGGCCGAGCACCGCGACGCCACGGCGCGCGTGCTGACGGGGCTGCTGTGCGCCCGGCGCCTGCGCTCGCCGCGGGACGCCGCCTTCCAGAGCCGCGACCACGTGTGCAGCTACCTGGGGCTGCCCGGCGCCGGCTTCCGGGTGCCGCTCGGGCACGTGGCGGCGCTCGAGCCCCTGCTCAAGGTAGCCGTCGACGAGTAGAGTGCAGTACTCGGCCGGGCCGGACACAACGACGAGCGCTGTACCAGGCGCGCCGCCGCAGACGCTGGGGCCGTCGCGGGTGCGCTACGACAAGGCCGTGGCCGCGGTGCGCTGGGGGATGGTGCGGGACCAGCGCGCCGTGGTGCAGTGCGAGGACGGCGAGGAGCTCCCCGCCGACCACGTCATCGTGGCGCTGCCGCTGGGCGTACTCAAGCAAGCCCATGGCTCCCTGTTCCTGCCCGGGCTGCCCGCCGACAAAGTGGACGCCATCGACCGGCTCAAGGTGCAGCCCCACAACCGCGTGTTCCTGGACTACGAACGGCCCTTCTGGACGTGGCTGGAGGAGCTCCGCCTGGACCAGAACGCGGCCGCCGGCTTCGTGTTCGACGCCGGCCAGGACCACTGGCTGGCGGGTGTCTCGCGCCTGCTGCCCGTCCGCGGCTCCAGCCACGTCATCAAGGTGGACGTCATGGGGGAGGCCGCCAGGACCCTCGAGTTCAGCAGTGACGCCGAGGTAAGCCGCACTCTCCCCGCTAACAAGCAACCTTTGCATTGGTGCCTCATCGTTGCCATCCCGCCCAGGTGATCGAGACCCTGACCCAGTACCTCCGCCAGTGCTCGGGGTGCAGCGACTTCCCCTACCCCACGGCCATGGTGCGGACGGCGTGGAGCACGGACGCGCTGAGCTGCGGCGCCTACACCGAGTACCCGAAGCACGAGGACGGCAAGCTGTTGTCGCAGACACTGGCCGCACCCGTGCACCACGTCCTCTTCTTCGCCGGCGAGGCCACCAGCCACAGGTAGGACCGCGTCAGTCAGCAGCGCACAGTGGGCCAGAAGACCGGTATGGGCGGCCCAATTCTCGACGCATTTTGAGCTCCAGAGTCGCTAAATGGGACTCGAATCAAACGTGTGGCCCCACCAATGAATTCCTCTCTGGACGAGGAATCTATTGGTGGGGTCACACGTTTGAGTCCCATTTAGCGACTCTGGAGCTCAAAACGCGTCTAGAATTTTGGCCACCTCCACCGGTCTCCTGGCAAATCCGCTGAGCGGCAGAACCCTTCCGGATGGCGTTTTTTCTCGTACCGACCTCGCTGGCGTAGGCCGGCCCTAACCTTGGCGCCACGGCCCGGCGCGGCCACGGCCCGGCGCGGCCCTCGCCAGGTACCTCTCCACGGTGCAGGGCGCCGCACTGTCGGGGGTGCGCGAGGCGGACCGCGTCCTTGAGCGGGTCGAAGCGTCGCGCCAGGAGAGCGCCTTCTGCCGCCAGCGGAGCCCGTGTTGACGGGGAGAGGAACGGCACCGCAGCGCCGCGCCACCGCGGTGTAGCAGTGTAGCGGTGTACCATCGGCCCCCGTCAATCCGTCTCCGCGCCCCGCCGCGCCACGCCGAGCAAGCCCTGCTCGAGATGAACCGGCTAAGGGCGGACGTCTGCCCTTACAGATTACTTTCCGCATCTATTATGTATCTCCACTTCCCTTTCTCCCTCATCCCTTTCTTTCTGCCGGCCCTCTAATTACGTGCTGCTTTTCCATCATCGCGGCGCCCCCCTCCCCTTTTCTCGCCCCGGCGTCCCCGGCCGTGGACAGTGCCAGTGTCGCCCAAATCTCATTCCGCTTTGCTTTATGACTAAGTGCTCGGGCCCCGCGGTGAGCCCAGGGCAAGCCCACGGGGCAGTGCTCCGTCGTCTGATAACTTGGCCGCGCTAAAACACCGGGTCCATCAGAGGGCCGGCCGGGGCAGGGCGGCGGTCGCTGCTTTTAGCCGGACGGACGCCGAACGCCCCGGCGAAAGCCACCGCCACTTCCATCGGCGGCTCGGAGTGCCATTTGCCGAGGCCGTCCAGGCCGTCGAGGCTGCCGGCGCCGATGAGCATGTCGTCCTGCCCACAGTGGAGGCGGCCAAAACTCTAGACGCGTTTTCAGCTCCCGAGTCGCTTAACAGGACTCGAATCGAACGTGTGACCCCGCCTATGGACTCTTCGCTCGGAGAGCAATCCATTGGTGGGGTCACACTTTGAGCTCAAAACGCGCCAAGAATTTTGGCCGCAAGCCTCGGGTTCGAATCCCGCTGCTGCTTAACCGTTCCGCGAGTCCGCGCCGAGGTCCGCGCCCCACTGCTTTCCCTCTTCGTGGGCCGCACGCACCGCGCGCACACCAGCTTGTATGCACTACACATGGGCAAACAAGCGACCCGATATACCCCGCGCCCGAGTGACTTCCAATGCGGGACTCGCATCTTTTGTTCGCGGGGTATTGACGAGGCCGCGGTCGGAGACGTTCGGAGAGCGCAAACAGCTCCATATTTATTTCTTTTCCATTTTTGTTTTCTTTTTTTTGCGTATTTCGGTCGAACCACGCTGGAAGTGGCCAAGTCGGAGCTCCCCCGCCAGCGACGCGGCAGATTGCAGGGCCAGCGGAGTGTGCGTCAATTGCGGGGCGGGGCGGGCACCTCGGTCCGCTAATGCGCCGAAATTAGTTTGTCGCTCTTCACTAATTACACGCCACGCTTACACGCCACAATGCGGATCGCATTCACTTCCTCAAGTCGGCGAGTCGGCTCCGCGGCGAGGCGGCGAGCCAGGCGAGCACGCACGCCGCGTTTTCCCAAACTAGTCCTACAGTGTAGCGCGCGCTGTGTGCTCCGAGTTACACGATACGCCGCGTGCGGCGAGGACGCCGCCGCCGCCACCAGGACCATGACGACGGCGAGTCCTTTTATCAGCAGTTCCCCTTCAATGTCAACTTGGTCGTAGAGGATCCCCCCCAATCAAAGTGGACAACACACCTCCCTCTCGGGCGGCTCCGGGCTCCAGGCGGCTCTGGCAGGCCGCCCTCTCCCCCCTTTGGTAACTTTCGGCAGCGGCACACATAGCTATCATACTTTGTGATCACTCCTGAGTAAACATGTCGTAAAAAAGTTGCTCCTCTCTCGTTCGCCTTCCTCCTTGTCTAACGTCGCCCTTCCGTGAGTGTGCGTCGCGCGCGCCCTCTGGGCGGAAGCGGGCGGGAGCGCCCTGCACCTACGCCCTCAATTCGACTGCACTGCCAAAACAGGGGATTGAAGGGACGGAAACTGCATTTGAGAAACGCGCCCGTTTTCGTAGAGATTAGAAAAAGCTGCCGCTGTGCTGCCGCTGTGCCCTTGGAGGAAGGGCAGGCACAAAGGCTGGGCCTGGCTGGCAGGGCCTACAATACCACTAATAACAGCACCGCCCCGGCTCGGCTCGGCTCGGCTCGGCTCGGCCCCGCGCCACCCGATCTTTGGTCGCTGTGCGTATCCCTCGCCTAATTGTGCTCAGAATGTGCGGAATTTTCAGGCGGGCCCGGCCCTGTGCTGCTGCCTCCCTCGCTTGAGTGGAAGGGCCGAGAGGCGGGGGAGGGGAGGGGGAGGGGAGGGGAGGCTGGGGAGAAAGGCGGGGCCACCGTCACCCGAATCAACTGCTGCTCGACGCGGGATGAAAAATCTGGCATGCTTTGTCCAAAAAAAAAAGCCACAAAAAAGTACATAAGTAGATAGACGAAAAATCGAACAAAAAAAAACGTGTAAGCAGATGTTATGAACGAAAATTAAATCTTGCTTTTGTCGGGACAGGTACGCTTGGGTTTGGTAAATTTTGGTTTGCTGGAACTGAAGGGTACCAATTAAAGAGGCAAGAGCGCATTTTGCCAACAGCATTTTTCCGCCCAGACAGAGCGTTTTTCTACCAAGAGCATTTATTCTCCCAAAAGAAGTTCCTAAAGTGCGACTTCCAAGTCTAAGCTAGCTTATGTTTCACACCACCCTTAAAAAGACGTCACCCCACCCAATATATTAAATTCTGTCGGAAATAATACTAGCCATTTCCTGGCGAAACGAATGCAATATCTGTGCGAAGTACGCACGAGGCGCAGCCCTCGACAAGAACGAGCAGGGCCTCGAGCAGGGCGCACGGCACGGCGCAGGGCACGGCGCGGTACACCGGAATTCTTGCGCGGCCCAGCTAATCACCGAGGAATGCCTGCGAGGACGCCGAGGACGCCGAGGACGCCGAGGACGCCGAGGACGGCGACGCAGTTCCTGCGCCGTCAAACGCGACATAGTTATGAGGGTTTAATTTACCCGCGCGGCCGCATTCCAGACTGGAAAACCGCCACCCCGCCCCGCCCGGCCCCGCCCCGCCCCGCCCCGCCACGCCACTGCCCCGTAGTCACCGCTGTGCACGGCGCCGTAAGCTAATTCCGGACGGGGCGGGGCGGGGCGGGGCGGGGCGGGGCGGGGTGCGGCCGGCCGAGGCGGAGACGGAATCGGGAATTGGTTCGCCAGCTCCGCCAGTCATCGTCCCCTCTGTTTATCCAGACGACGGCTGCGTTTCCTGTGCCAATAGGCATAACCCCGACTAGGCTAGCGCCAAGCTATGCCGCCAAGCTATAGCGCCAACGCGTCGCCCCACAGAGCCCCTCCGGCCTCTACCTGGCGTCGGGGTTGGCCCTCGTTGGACCCGGTCGGTCCTGGCGGGGCCTGGCGGGGCCTGCGGACAGTCGTCCGGGCATTCCGTCCATTTCTCGTCCCCTCAAGGCCCGGCGAGAGGACCGCCCCGCCGGTCCATTCCATCTCTGCGATCCCCGATTTGTAATCATGGCGAGGGTGGGCCTGTTCGAGATGCCCTGGTCGAGGCGGGCCAGGCGGGCCAGGCCCCGGTCGAACCCGTGGTCGAGACGCACTGGTCGAAATTTCCTGGTTGAGACGTCCAGATCGAGACCGAGACGCCGGTTGAGATGTCCTGGTCCAAGACGTCCAGGTCCCTGGTCAAGAAGCCCTTATGCCGTAAGCCGTTGTGGATTCGAGGCCGTAATAGGCGAGGCCGGGCCGCCCATGGGGCTGCCTGCCAACGTTACTTCAAAAACGCGTCACTCTTTCCACGTTACAGTAGACTCGACAACGCTACGCGTCGTTGGCAGTCTCAGGCAAAGTGTGTAAAGCGATTTCGTAACTTGGTTGTTTCATAACGCCAAGCCCCGGCCGCCAAAACAGAGACTGCAGCGTCTAATTGGCGGAACATTCAGTGAGGATAACGAGGATGCGGACATGCAGGGCCTCCACGGCCTCCACGGCCTTGGCCGCCACCCTCTGGGCAGCGTGTGCTCGGTCACGAGGGTCATGAGGGGCTGGCGGGGCCGGCGGGGCCGGCGGGGCCTTTGTGAGGGCTAACAAGGTGGCTGCGGTCCGGCGGGCCGTCCGCCTGCACCGACTGCACGTCATCATGGCCATCATCGGACGCGGCGGACCGGCAGACCGGACCGGCAGACCGGACCGAGAGACGCCAAGCGCGCCAAAAAGAAGAAGCCAGCCGGGCAAACAAGCAGCGGGGCGGCGCACAGTGGACCAGAAGACCGGTGCAGGTGGCCGAAACTCTACACGCGTTTTGAGCTCCAGAGCGTCACTTCACAGGACTCGAACCGAGCGTGTGACCCCACTAATGGATTCCTTGTGCGGAGAGCAATCCATTGGTGGGGTCACACGCTCGGTTCTAGTCCCAGCGACTCTGGAGCTCAAAACGCGTCCGGGATTTGGACCGCCTCCACCGGTCTCCTGGCAAATCCACCGAGTGACGGCATGCGAACGCGGAAAAGCAGCGCGCCGGGCCTCACAGCCGCACAGCCTCTCGGAGCGCTTGGGGCCCCGCTTAGTACATTACATCAATGAAGACGGAGCACAATCTAGTTAGCGTCGGCGCTGCGGCAAGCAGCCCGCCCGCCCTGCGCGCCCTGCGCGCCGAGCAGCCAGCCAAACATCGCCCTCGCGTCGCGCACCTAATTCTTAGACCGCCGCGCGGCGTCGAGTCGAGCCGAGCCGAGCCGAGCCGAGCCGAGCCGCGTGGAGCGAGGCCGGGCGGCGCACGCCGCGCACGGAGCCGAGCCGGGGTAAGCCGGGGGAGGCTTCCCTTGTGCACGGCGTGCCTGGGCATGCCGCGCGATGCCGCGCCAGGCGGCAATTACATCGCCCACTGCACTCGCAGCGCTTTGATGTCGGCGATATGTATACCCTAATAAGGCGAGGCGTTGTGCTTCGAGCCTCGGAGCCTTGAGGTGGTTCCCTGTTGGTGGCGCCGTGGTGGTGGTGCCCTGGCGGTGCACAGTGGGCCGCCAAAACTCCAGACGGCATTTTGAGCTCCAGAGTTACTTCACAGGTCTCGAACCGAGCGTGTGACCCCACCAATGGATTCCTCGTTCGGAGAGCAATCCATTGGTGGGGTCACACGTTCCGTTCGAGTCCCATTTAGCGGCTCTAGAGCTCAAAACGCGT